TCTGAGGTGCAGCAAGCTTTCTGAATTATTTTTAAGTCGGTCAAGCTCCCCACATTTAACATGAATGCAATGCAAGTGTTTGTGGCAGAAAAATTTAGGGAGTTGTATACTTTGCTTTGGATCTAGGAAAGAGAACAGTGGCATGGGAACACCTTACGCTGATACCATCACCAAGAATTCGTTATGACACAACATTGGCTTTCCCTTTTTGTTCTGGAAACACAACACCTTGATAAAACTGATGAGTTTATCTGAAAGTATTTGAGATTTCACCTGTACAGGTGGTGCTGAGTGTTGTGACAGCTCTTTAATATCTTGACCTAGGTAATAGTACAGTTAGAACTTGCTTAAAATTCTGGTTAGATCTCGTAAGAGCTAATTAATAACCTCAGAGTTTGAATTGTGAAGTCTCTTACTGTTTTTTTTTTTCTGCAAACATCAAAGAAAAATCTCTTTTAGTTTTTAGTTCATCTCTTTTATCCTAAAAAGGGTGGCCATAGGGGCCTTACAGAAGAATGTTAGAGCAGTGTGGGGAGGGTGGTTAAAAAGAGTAACTTGGATCCATGAGCAGAAAGAGAAGGTTTGCTGAAGTTGAGTGCAGATTGCAGGAGGCTTTAAGACTCAGATTTTTTTATATGGCTGACTGCATAGAAACATCCCCTTTTGTGTCCATTGTCTTCTTAAAAATGTTCCTTTTACATCATGGCACTCTTTGTATTTCACTCCCAGTTCAGCTGACAGGACCGAGGTCACTGGCCACTTTTTTTTGTTGAAATAATGGTTAGTGGAAAAGAGAAGTGGTACTGTAGTATATAGCCACTGATATGGTTTTGTACTTTGTGCTGATAAGCCCCAGTTAGTGGATGGGAGATCTACAAAAGAGCTGTTGATAACAGGACTTTAAGTAAAACTGGAACAACAACATGCAAATGACTCTAAACTACCTGCCACTGAGTTGGAGTTATCTGGTTGTGCCCCTTATCCTTTCAGACTGACTGGTTCTACAAGTCAGCCCCATGTGAGAAAGGGTTTCTGTCAGCAGAGACCTCAGGGGTTTCCTCACACCTCCTTGTAATCATAATATAATTCTATGAAGAGAGGATGGAGTAATTAGTGAGATGTCCACATACACAGAGGAGTTTAAATATAAAATTGACTATATTTATTAAAATATGCTTAGATTAATGTTTATAAAGACTAAATGTGTCAGGTGTGTGAGCAGTAACGCTAAGTAATAAAATGAAGTCTGCTGGTGCTTCTACAAATCAACCCTTAATTTTACTCTTTACATAGCACGAAAGAGTTCCAGTAAATGGTTAATAGGTTCATCAGGTGGCACAGGGACTAAATGTTTTCCTGTGAGCAGCAGACAGATGCTGCTCCCCAGCATGTTAAGTGCTTGGTTAATGTTGGGCTACCTGTTCTTATGATAAGTCTTTTTTTCTGCACATAATTTCTCTTCAGTGAAAGGAAAGGTTAGCTTTTTGGACCATCAGAGCAACTGGCCCAGAAAAGGAAAGACAGCAAGCTCATACAGTTAAATGAATGGTAGAATCTAGCAAATTGCATCAACTAGAAATCCCCTTTTAAAACCCTCATTACTCAAGAGTCTGGCAGAGCCACATCCAGTTAATGGCTTCTGTTCCCTACAAAGACTTAAGTGTAGTCTTTGAGGAAGAAATGTCACAACGGAGGTAGGTGTGCTGCTTAAGGGCTGGCTGCAAGTGGGCCTCAGAGTGCTGGGCAATAGTGTGCACAAGCTGAAGAGGAGCAATTCAGTCTGAAAGAACGACAGGAATTGATTTGGGAGTCCCAGATCCCTGTCAGTCTTACTTAACTGACAGCGTCTAGAGCTTTATCTAGTTCACACTAAACAAATGGAAAATAGCAAAGGATAGTACAGGAAAGAAAACTGATAGTGAATACACTTTCAGTTAATGTGTCTGAGGAATAGATTTTAAGACATTTTGTCTTCTTTTTGCATATGTGGTAGGAAGATACGTTAGAATGAGGCAACAATGACAAATATCTGAAGCATTTCAGCAGCATAGAATTGGAAATAATATATCATCCCTACAGGACTCATTTGAGGAAAGTATTTGTAGGTATTAGAATCCTTTGTAGCATGGTATGTTTCAATATTTATTTATTTAAACAATTAGAAGTAGTCCAATAATTTTATCTTTGATATGTGTATTGTTTTTCTTGTTAGTAAAATAGGTGAATGAAGTCTTTTATTCAATCAAGGTGTAGGTATTTCTGTCCTGAAAAACAGATAAAACATTGTTCCACAGGGCAACATGTAACTTTCATTGATCTACCCATGGTGCAGCCTCTTTGTATAGAAAAATTTCAGTACATTAAAGCATCACATCTGCTGAGTTAACTGCATATCTGTTTCTTGTGCCCTTCTTGAAGGTATAATTTTAAAACTTTACCTTTTTCTTATCCTAAAACCGGAATCCATCTTCTTTTCCCTCCCAAAGGGAGGTTTAGAGTGAATCATAGAAGTCTTCAGATAACTAGCTTTGCCATCCTGAACTATGCTGAACATATTTGTCTTTCATTCCTAGAGGGAAGATGAGAGATTTAGGCAGTAGCTTATTAGGTGTTTACTCATCTCACCAAGAGTTTTTGAGAGGAATACAGTATACTATGTTTTCTTCCATGGATATGGCTCTTGAATCAACAACTTTCTCTGAGTTCTTGGAAGAAATATAGGTTATCTGGTACCTAGATTAAATCATCAAGTTCATTTCATTTCAGGACCTTTGTTTGTCAGGCCTCTTGAAACAGGTAAGATTAATGTACCCTGTTTTCATGAAAAAAGCTTGAAAAGGCTGGATGCTTACATGGTTCCAGTACTTAAAATCTTTCCCTGCCTTCCCTTGCCTAATTTTTATTTCTACAGAAGGCTTACACATCAAGACCGGAATATACAGCTATAAATTTTCCTCCAGCATTTCTCTGTTGCAAATCGTAGTATACAGCTGAAGGGCCTGATCTCAAGAACTAAACTCCAAGTCTACACTGAAGGCTAGATCTGAGACTCTTTGAAGTCACTGGAAAAAAACCTTAAAATTTAGTAGTTTGAGCGTCTTTGGGGACTTCTCTACAAGGAATCAGGTCCACTTGGATTGAACTGTGGGGTTTTTTTAAAGAATTCGGTTTGCATTCTTACTGGCACTTAGGCACAGAAAACATAGGCATTACTGTCAAGCTGTGAAAAGAATACAGTTTGTCCTGCATCAGGGACTGGACAGGGCTCTTCCTCAGTGAGCTCCAGTCTCCAATGCATTGTACGAGTACCTGCCTATGCTTCCATCAGGGGAATAAAGTCCAAGGGACGAATACAGGTTATATTCATACCTCTCTTCTCTTTACGTATTCTCTGGGGAGTTCAGTGCCAAACACAGATGGAAAGCAGCAGGCAGCTGTAGCTTTATAAGGGGATGCACCTCTCTTCTACATGAAGAAGAGGTTCCTTATAGCTGGTTCAATCCACTGCTGTACTGAATTGTTTGCAGCCTGTGATGGGCTGACCTTGGCAAGCTGCCAGGCACCCACCCAGCCTCTCTCTGCTTTCCTCAACAGCACAGAGGAAGAAAATATGATGAAAAAGCTCATGGGTCAAGATAAAGAGAGGGAGATCACAAAGCCAATGTATCATTCAACTATGGTCAGTTCTGACACCCTTCGCCAGCAGAAAGATATTTCTATCATGAGGGCAAGAAATCAAATGAAAAAATTGATTGCATACTACAGCCCCAAGGATTCCATACTATTGGGATTGTAGAAAACTAGGTATGAATTTTTTATGCCTGTAGAAAAAAGGTCCAGTGGCTTAATGTTGGTCAGAGCTGCTCAACAGACCTTAACACCACATCAGCTAAAGAAGAAAATAAATTGTCTGCTAGAGGAGAGCTGTGTTTTACTTATTATGTTGAAAATACAGAAGAGAAGTATGAAAACGAGAAAACAAGTGTCCCTCATACCAGTCTAATTCTGGCTGTCACACAGATTTTCCTTGTGGCATTGCTGTGGAGGCTGGGGGGCTAGCTCAAAAAATGCTGTCTCATGAGCTGGTTTGCCAGTTGGAGTTTGGGGGTGTATTTAGCCACAGGAACCAAAAGTTCAGCTCCATGTGACTTTGCTTCCCATATTCTCTCACTTGGAGTCAAATATTCATAAATGGCTAACCAGTTCACTCCTTATATACCCCGGTTTTCTTGCCAAGGAGTTTTTCTTTTGAGATAGACCCTTTCCTCTCTTTACATTATTTCTTCAGAATTTATTTCCTGGTACTTTGCCCCAAAAATGCAATTTCTGGCTTATACAAGATATATCTGTGATAACTTGTGGTTCTTCTTCCCCCATTCCTTGAGATTGAGATATGAAAAGGAAATGCAGCAAATTACTCCTTCCCCTTTGCTGAGATTGTCTTCTTTTCCAAACTGTTACAATAAATTATTTACCATGAGCCGTATTCACTGTGCACGTATCTTAGCCATCTCTTTATCTCTGGTTCTATGCTTTTCATGCATTATGACTAACTCAGTGGACATAAGAGCACTTATGTTTCCCTGGATGCAGGAACCTGGATGAAGTGACTCAGCCCTGTCTCAGGGCAAGCCTGGGCCCATGTTTGCCTTTCTCCTTCCACTGACACCATGGCATCCAGGAAGGGCTCAGGCTTGTGGTCCAGAGGGAGCTGTGGCACACTCTGGGCAGGGTCCACACCTAGGCAGCCTTCTGATCATGCAGTTCAGGCACACCATTTTCACCAGACTTGATATGGCTGCAGAGCCACAGCAAGGCCATATTACTAATACAAAATGAGAGATTCTGCATTTACAGTGGGTTTTTTTCAGAATAACTTCTGCTTTCCTGTCTGCCCCTTTATCAGTTTTGGTGCTTCTGCTGTTGCAAGTCTCAAATTGGAAATAAATCAGTTGCAACAGCACAGTGAATCTTTCTTTTTCTTATATTTCTCTTTGCAGATGGCAGAGTAGCTGAAATTGAGAAAAGGATTAGAGAAGCTTTTGAGGTGTTTGACCGGGAAAGCAATAAAACTGTGGATGCCAGGTTTGTAAATATATTCACAAAGAAATATTGCAGGATCAGATATAGAGATAAATAACTCCCTAAGCCAGCATCTGCTTTACCAGAAAATGTCATTGAAATAGGCCTTTTGGCCCTGTTTGGACAAGTATGTCTGTGGTGGGTTGACCTTGGCTGGACACCAGGTGCCCACCAAAGCCACTCCATCACTCCTCTCCTCAGTGGGACATGGGATAGAAAATATAACAAATGGCTTGTGGGTCAATGTAAGGGCAGGGAATCACTCACCAATTACTGTCACAGGAAAAACAGACTCGACTTGGGGAAATCAATTTAATTTATTACCAATCAAATCAGAATAGGAATAACGAGAAGTAAAACCAAATCTTAAAAGCAGCTTTCCACCCACCTCTTTACTCCCTGGGCTTAACTTTATTCCTGATTTTCTACCTCCCCTCCGCAGTGGTGCAGGGAGACAGGGAATGGGGGTCAGTTCATCACATGTTGTAGCTGCCAATCCTTCCTTCTCAGAGGGAGGACCCCTCACGCTCTTCACCTGCTTCAGCAGTGGGGTCCCTCCCACAGGAGACAGTCCTCCATGAACTTCTTCAATGTGAGTCCTTCCCACAAAGTGCAATTCTTCATGAACTGCTCTAGCATGGGTCCCTTTCCATGGATTGCAGTCCTTTGGGAACAGGCTGCTCCAGTGTGGGTCCCCCACAGAGTCACAAGTCCTGTCAGCAAACCTGCTCCAGCGTGGGTTCCTCTTCTCCACGGGGTCACAGGTCCTGCCTCCCTAAACCGGCATCTGCTTTTCCAGAAAATGTAATTGGCCCTTTTGTAATCAGTCCTTTTGGCCCTGATTGGATAAGTTTGTCTTTGCTGGTTTAATAGACATTTTGTATTGTTCACTGGTTGAAATTGGCTTGAGGGAGGAATGCTGGGACTGGTGGTGCAATGGGGCAAGAGGAAGCTGCAGCTAGGCAAGAGGTCCGAGGCCACAATTAGTGCTAGTAAATAAATCCCTGCTCTGATAGCTCATTTGGCACTACAGGACCTGGATCCTTATGAAACTCCTCACTTTTAGGGTATTTCAGCACATCAAGGGGTGTCCCTGCCAGTGTGTGTGTCACAGTTACCTGCACTCAGTAGGTGTCTTCAATGGAAATGCATCCTTCCTCTGGGGTAATGTGGGAGGTGGATGTTGCTTTGGCAGGGAGGTGGTTTGAGGAGACTTGGGAGAAACTTGCCTATAATTTATTTATGAATAATAATAATGATAACAACAACAACAGTAATATAAAAATTAACATAAAGATGATCATACTTGATTGCACCAAAAGTCTATTTAGCCCAGTACCCTCAGTTGAGCTATCAGTAGTTTCCTAGGGGAGGAATGTAAGGAATTGAACAAATATGCAGTATTTCTTGTTGGTTTTGTACATCTGGTACATTATGATTTGAGTGGCCTCTGGTTTATTTTTTTCTATCCTATGATAAATAGCAAACATTTGTTCTCTATTAATTTTCTCGTTAATGATTTCATACCTGGCTGTCACATTTGTCCTCCATCACAGTAATTTAAGGCTGAAGAGTCCAGATGTGTTCAATCTCTTAGGAGATGCTATTCCATAGCTTTGGCCATTCTCTTTTTGTGCTTCTTCATGTTCAGCTTTCTCATTTTTGAAATGGAATGACCAGAACTGGGGAAGTAGAGTGCACAGGTGGGAGTCTGGAAGGAGAACTGCATGCACTATACCTTTAGCATGCACCATTATGGAAAAACATACAAAATATACGTCTGAGCAAGGGGGTAGAAGTTCAGTGGAAGATAAAAACATGGACTGTTAGACTGATCAAGGCATAACTGGCTACAAGATACAGAGCTAAAGGATGTCAAATTTAAAAATTCCTCAGTAATCTTAATTCTGGTATTTTTTAAAGTTTGAATATTTGGCAATGCCACTTAAACTTCATTTTAATATAAGCATTCCTAGACATAACTATGGCATTTATTATAAAATACATAAATGACATGTTTATGTCTCACAGAGCAGGTTGTTATAAGCTGTTGTCATAAAAGCTTACTGGAGTAATTTTTCATATTTTCAATTACTACATTTAAAAGAATATCACTAGAGCTTTTAATTATAAACCAATTATTGAACATAAACACTACAAAGGAGTGTGAGAACTGGTGAAATTGTTGTCATTAAACATTCTTCATGAAGCCAAATTGGAAAATATCTTTAAATGTTTCAAACATCTTTTCTACATTCTAGAGCATAGGTGAGAGAGATGCAAAATATTTATGTGATGGTTTTAGGAATGCATGCTTACTAGTACCTCTAAATTTAAGAAATTGCCAGTACTTCATAGAAGTAATGATTTTTCTGCTATACTAGATAGGGGGAATTTCAGGATATATCTCCACACTCAGTGTAATTGCTGTTCCCTTGTCCATAGGGCTCTCTAGGGAAGGATGATCTTACATCTCTTGGCCCATGCCCAGGGAGGTGCCTGATCCCAGAAGTGGAATTGCCCCAGTGCCCCCCAGATGCCCTGCTCCTGGATGGGCCCTGGCTACCTGGCCCCTATGCAGAACCCCCACCACTACCATCCCCAGCCCTGGGGAGCCCCTAGCCCTCACTGCATCATGACATACTCATTGCTTATTTGTTTGCCATTTACATCTGCAGTCTTGGCTAAATAGTTGTAAAATTTTCTACATTCCTCACTCTATTATGTCATGGATATACAGCTTGATAAAATGTTACAACAATGAAATGATACAAATAGACTTTTAAAAAATGTGTTCGTTCAGACAGGAGACATCCAAAAGTCTGTTTAACATAGTAAATGCACAATTTCACGTTAATTTTTATCATAGTACAGTTACAGACAATGAACAACAGTTTATTGTCTAATTATTCCTAGGTTCATATTGCAGGGCTGTATCACAATAATGGGATTATTAATAACCGATTATCTTGTATCAGAAGGTGGCAGCACAGCACAATTCTTAACCACTGTTGTAGATGTATGAATTTTATTGCCTGAAATATCAGATACCCATGAAGAACATGGAAAATTACACTGGCTTGACAGGCTGACATTGGCATTGCATGACTCCTGATGCAAATTCAAATTAGTAAGAAATTAAGAATGAGGAATATAATATTGTTTCATGCTGCTTACAACATACTGTTGGTCAAGGACTTTTATGATTTTGCAAATCTTGCCATTGAAAGTGTTATATGTAGGGCAAAAATAATGACCCAAAATTTTATTGTTTCTGTGTTATAAAACTTGTATGATCATGAATTTGATTTTAGATGTTGTTTTTGTGTTCTAGAAACTAAACAGGAGGAATCGCAGCTTCTGAACTGAGAGGAAGTGGCTGGGAGCAAAATACAGTTTCCTGTCAGGGTTCTTTAAACTCTGTGTCATTACCAAATGGAACCTGACTTTTTTCACCACAGTCACTTTAGACAACATCCTCATGTTGGCACGCATGCAGACTGCCAGATACAGCACCAGGAATGCCAGATTTTGCAGGCTCTTCTAGGGCCTGGCTTACCTTAGTCACATCACAGTTTTGCTGGCTGTGAGTGAGGTGAGGCGGGAGGGTGATGGCAGCTTTACCATCTCTGGCATCTGTGAGAGTAGAAATAGTGTGGGACAGGAATGAGGCAGGATTTGTGTTGGGTGTTCCTCTAGGGGAGGCGGGGAATACTTAGAAATATCTTTTAGGTGGAAAAGGTGAGGGAGTGCAGGAGTGAGAACAGATGCAGTATATACATACTAGAAATAGGATGGATGGACAAGGATTATGCCTAAATGACTGACCCCCCTGACACCAATGGCCATTCGCATCCACAGAGGCAGAGTTTCACTGAGTCATTTGAGTAGATGGTCTCATTTCATAACAACTGGATGTGTAGGATTGGGTTTTGTTTTGTAACTAGTTTTGTCCAGCCTTTTCCTCTCTTTTGTCTATTGTAGTGCTTCTCACATGTTTTCAATCAGAATGGGAACTCCTTGGGACCTGTCTGAGGAGGTCAAAGACTTACAATTTTGCATGTGCTTGGTATGCCACATTCAGGGCCTTACTGTTGTAAGATTTTACAAAGGTCACTGCTCCTTGTATCTACCATTTTTATTGGGCAATCTGATTTTTCCACCAAATGGATTAGGATTAGGATTAGGATTAGGATTCACCACTGGTCAAGATGAAGAAACCACAGAGGTTTGGATTATGGGAACCACCAGCACTGTGAATAGATATTCAAATGTACTTAAATTTCTGTGTTGTTGAATTGGAATGTAAATCACAAGCAATAGTGATGCTTCTGTTATTCTGTTTTTAATCGTACTGTGAATCTCACTAAAGCTTTTTTACAGCTTTACAGTACTTTTGTTTCTAATCTGTGATGTTTTTCATCTTAAATTATTTTGAGGCATTGCCAGTTTGTTCAGAATTTTTTTAGAGCCTCAGAACAGCTGCACCAGGTTCAGCAGTAGATGCAAGCTATGAATATATTTGCAGCATAAACAGAGTGGGGATAAGCCACTTTGTTGTTCTGTTTGACTGTTTCAGAGCACAGTAGGGACATAGCAGGGCTGTCTCCTTCCTGACTTTTTGTAATTGTTCTTTAATGCAGTTAGAATTTGTATCTTTATAGCATTTAATGTACACATGTATTTTATTTGTTACCTTTCACCTCAGCATGTTTCCAAGTGATTTGTTAACTATATAGATGTAGACTTTACTGAAATAAAGCTTAACAATTAGAGAACAGTAGTTGAAAATTAACTTTCACACAGTACACTGCAACACAGTGGTAAAGAATTTTTTGGGAAAGTCACAAGAACAATTGCACTCTTTCAAAGAGCTCCAGAGTATTTAATGTCTGTAAAAATAGACATTGGTTACTGAAACATCATCTTGAAAGTCCACATGCATGTGCTTGTGCATACTTTTGGGCTTGTACGTGCATATTCCTACATGCAAACTCTTAACTGGATTGTCCACAAACACTCTTGTATTGCAGACATTGACAAAGATGTTCTTTCTTTCTTTCAGAGATATTGGTTGCATTGTCAGGTCACTGGGTTGCTTCCCAAGTGAGGCAGAACTACGTGAACTCCTTGCAAAGGTAAATGGTTAGATCTTTTGTATTTTTTTCAGTCTTAAACTTGCACAAGTTTGGCCCTTCTGCCTTACTGAGTGGGAAACTCAAGTTCTTTTCCCAGATGTTGGAAGTGTCATGGAAGTGTTTCAATCAGACAGGCAATCTCTCAGGTTGCCCTGAAGCAAACCTTTAGGTTGATGAAGTAACAATGCTGATGGGTTAAAATAAGGAGTCTTTGACTCTCTATTACCCCAGAGGATCACTGTGACACTGTGCTAAGGTGGAGGAGCATTTACAGAAAATGGACAAAAATTGTTTTTGACTGATGAAAAAGAATGTCCTAAACCTCAGTCAGATTAGGATCTCTAAACACTAACCATCTCACTCTTCAGGACATGCAGTGGACACACGGTGCATGATTAGGTAATAAAAATTAGTTCTTGAGAAGACGTTAAATTACAAAAATACACAGAGGGAAGATGGGCCATTTTTTTTCACTGGGTTACTGCTGTCTTATAGCCAGACCTTTCTACTTTCTGTCCTTCATGAGGTGTCTCCCAGTCTTGAGATTTCTCAGTTATAGGTAAGTAACCTTGATTACTTAAGCCTGTAAATCAGACTTCAGGACATAAAACTCCACAAGACCTAGTGGTCCTCCCATTCTCTCACTGATATGCAGTGGTAAGGAAATTCAATGACATTTCTCCACAATCTTTTCCTATACTAATTTTTGTCTCCTTACCGCATGCTTGTAATAGAAAGGATGATGTGCTGGTGCATTGGCAGGGTATGGCTAATAGATGGGATGAAAAAGTGGGAAAAAGTCTCCACATTCTTTTTGTAAATGGGCATGCTGCCTTAAGGAGTGGATGATGCTGGAGCTGAGAGGTGGGGTAAGGATTTTTCTCCTTTTCATGTGTAGCTCAGTATACTGAGAATTGATCTCTCTTACTGTTTTCTTCCTGCACCAACAAAAATTTGGATGGTTGCAGTAGTAGTCTCTCCTCAGTAGGCTTGTCTGGTCTCCTGTAGATCAGAATTTAGTGTGACAAATCTTGTGCTAAGTCTTGTGAAAATGACACAGCTGCTTCAGATGAGGAAGTGCAAAGAACCACCAGAGGAGAAAGCTCTTTTAACATGATACTGCAATCTGTCTGCTCTGGATCTGTACTCTCAGTACCAGATAGTCCCAGCTCCCACTGACAAACAAGGCAAAGTAGAAATTATTGTGCTTAATATAGATTATATTTTTAGTGTCCCACAGTAACTTTTCTTTACAGCAAATGAAAAGTACAACTGACTCAAGATATAGAATTGTGAAAAGAAAGGGGATATTTTGACAACCCACTTCAATTTCAGGAGAATCAGGAGAGTTTAAGGCCTTCCAAAGAGATTGGACATTGGTTTTTTACCCATTTTGAACAGTACTGAAATTTGAGATAAGTAATACATAACAAGGTACAATGCAATGCAGCCACAAGGCAGATGATTCTTGAGATATAACACTGTAACCTGTATGCAAATGTTGATTATAAGGATATTAAAGTACAAATACTGCAAAAATAAAGAGTATATTCAAGAGTAATGGTTAACCTTAAAGAACACTGAACTGGAAATCAAATAGCAAAGAACAGTGCCTGTAAGTGAAATCTTGGCATAGGTTTAGTACTAGAAGAACACTGTCTTCTTGTAGAACCCTTCATATATTATGATAATCACAAATACCTCTTAGTTTATATAAGATACCATTATAATTGACTATGGTAATACCATTTCATCTTAATCTAGATAAAGTAAAAATTGTGTCTGTTAGCTGGTTTGTAACTAAGCTATTTCCCCAGTATTGTTGCCCATTGTAAATGGTGATTTGTTTCTCTTTCTCTCTACTTGTGTCTCTCAGTCATCTGATCTTCCTATTAGCCTTATTGTAGTTAAACTAGTGTATGCTGCCATCAAATTATTCATATCTGTAAAATCATCGTTCATATAATTATGTTATCTCTATAAATCATCATTACTGTCTCCTATATTGCCTTATAATCAGTGTTATACTTAATATCATATCTTTAGGCCTACTTACAAGTTTAAGATTAAATGGTAAGCCTAGGGATGGTGAAAGCTAATCTAAGGATCATTTCAATGTCTGGAGTTCGGTACACTGCTCTGCCTGTTTCTTTGTGACTCAAGTCCCCCAGTGTTGTGTGGACAGAAATAGTATGGGTGTGAGAGTAGAGATACAAAACATAATGGGTGCTACAATACAATTGTTATGGGAGCTATGGATGAACCCAAAGGAAAGAAATAGAGCAAAACTCACAGTGAACATGCAAATGCTGTTATTGTGAAAAAAAGAGAAATTACAGAAAAAAGGAAAACAATAATGAGGAATGAGGTGTAGAACAGGAGTGAGCATGAGAAAGAGTAAGAGGATACATATACTTGCAAATCCCAATACTTAATGATTTAGGCAAAGTTAATATATTCAATTTATCCACTTATCAATCCATTGTTAGAAATAGGATTAATTTTAACTGTTCAGGATGTTTCTGGGCCTGTAGAGTCTCTGAAAGGGAAGCTGTTTCTTTCATCCTCAGAGGAAACTGAGGTTGCTGATCACCTCCCAGGACTAGGTTTTGCCTGGTATTTTTTACATCTTTTCAATCAAGCAAGCAGTAATACACATGATTCTGTAATGGTAAAAGGTACTATTTGATATAGCACGAACAGCTTCATTTCCTTGCTAAAGATCCCTTCAGTAGGCTCACCAAACAGAAGAGAAAATGTGTTTTTACAAGCCAATTTCCACTCTAAAGCAAGAGGTGACGGCTGTCTTCTCTTAGTGCCCAAGCCCCTTCAAAAACACCGTAGAAGAGCATTCAGCAGCAGTTGCAGCTCTCCATTTAAGCAAATGGATGTATCAGGAACCACCTCAGCTCTGATCCAGCTCCCAGGAGGAAGATTCCATACTAAGTGTTTCCTGGCTCAGTTAGAAGATTTCAAATCAGTGCCTATTTGAGCTTTCCTTCGATCTGAGCTGTGTCTCAGAGAGCCTAGCAAGGTGTTGGCTGCTGCCATGTGAGACCTCAAGGCATGCATCCAGTTTCAACACAGACAGGAACAGGCTAGCTTCATTAACAGGGGTCCTTCTGAGAGAAAAACTTGAAATTTTCAGGGAAGGGATGCACCCTGATGACAGGGAGCAGTTTTTACCATGTTTCTTATCTCTTGTGGAAATATAGGAATGCAGTGAGAATGCTGCTAGAAGTCCCTGATGTTTTGGGATTAATCTGTTAATTTGTTTGGGAGGCAAAAGGAAGATTTTCTGTGTATAGCATTTTATGGGCTGCCTTATGACTCCTTTGGACTGCCCTGACTCAGTCTGCCTGCCTCTCTGGTCCTGATGACTCTCTTTGGCTATGAAATATGTAGAGGCAACAAATTCCATCCTTGAGGTGTACTAGACTGGGGCTATGTCCAAGCTAGCCCATTAAATATGCCCAGAAACATCCTTGGGTGCTGAAGTCAGCTGGCACAGAGCAGCTTGTGTCTACCCCGGTAAATCTTTTATGCAGAGTGGCTGCACAAAGTATCCTTCCAGGGAAAAGCCCTTAAGGTCCCAGCCAGGATCTCCTGAGGGGAATATTGGGAGGCACAGGCCAAAGTCACGCCAGGGAATGTGCTCATGGTTTGCTGTAATGGGTGGTCACATTGCACTGATTGGGAATGTTCCAGATCCCGATAGACTTTACTGGTATGAATTCAGTCTGAACGTTTAAACCTCTGCTGAGTTATTGTGGAAGATAAGATCAGTTACACGGTGTCCGGTTACTTTGCAAGAATGGTTTTGAAGCACAAGAGGGCAATCTTGAGTTGTTGGAAGTGTCTATAATAGCGGGCCTGTGTTTTCCCTGGGATATTATTTCTTCCTCGAATTTCCTTCTGTTTGATCACAAGCATTTCACTCAGATGTTATGGTGCCCTGTGATATTAAAGACTTGATATAAATATTCAAAGTCTAACTCTGTAGTTTTAATGCAAGGACTACCCCAATTTTCTGTTTTTCTGTATCAGTTTGCTAATGAGCCATATACCCTGTGATACTTAAGTTTTATTTTTAGTTAGTACAAGAAGAAGAAGATGAAGAAGCAACCAGATTCATTCATATGGAAAAATTTCTTCCAGTGATGACAAAAGTACTACTTGACAGAAGGTAATGGAAAGTGAATTTTATGTATCTCTACTTTATTCCATATTGACAGGGTTGATTCTGAATAAATATATCTGCAGAAATTTTATATAACTGGAAGAAGTACAGATTTTATTTGTCATTTAAGATCAGTTTACATTAGCTAGATATTGATTCAAAATTACTTTGTCTACATAAAATTGTGTTTCACTGGTGATATAAATAATACCAGTTTATAATCATGAATTGTGATAATAGGTAGATTTTGTGTTTTTAATGGGAATCAGAATTAACTTGCTATTCAACATGTTTTGTGTATCTCTAAAATGTTTCATATGAAAATTAAGGTCATAACTATTACTTTCTCTGAACATATGGGTCACAGTTACGGAGAAGCACAGTCTGTTACAGTGTATTTTAAATAAGTTGTGTAAACCAGCTTCATATTCATGTCTCAAAGTGACAGCCAGGTACAGCTGAATGTATACAACTAGCACTCTAAAAGACTGCTGATCTAAAAGTCTCAAACAAAACCACTGTTCATTATACTAAGGTGCATGGAAGTCTTTGCATGTACACAGGAACTTGTGCTATTTTGACATTTGCACTAAAGCAAGATTACTTACAGCAAGATTAATTTCCTTTTAAAGATGGTAGTCAAGGCTTCTGAAAAACTCTGTCTTGTCCAATACCAAGAAGTTATTTTGCACACAGAGAACCTTTGGTAGGAGGGTGTTCTAGACATGAAATATCTGCGGCTCCACACTGATGTTCAGCCTTTCACACAGTGATGCCTTGCTGCTCTGGGCTCTCTTCTCCTCCTCCACAACCTCTCCACAAAAACATACACACACACAAAAAAACACAAAACCCTACATGCTTTCCCCAGGCTAGTTCAGGCTTGTCAAGACCCACTTTATCTTTTGGGGCACTCTGTCCATGGTTCACTTATCCAAGGGTACATGAGATTTGGATCATAAAAACCAAGACTACTTCTTAGAACATTTGATTTTTAGATAGTAAAAGACTGAGGCGGGTCTGGACAAAGCAATCAAGCACTTAGAATCTCCCTGGATTCAGCTCCTTCTATTTAGTATTCTGGGGGGTTGGTGAGAGTCTGTTGGGATACGGAAGCTCTCCTTTGCTACACAGAGCTTCTTTTCCATCTCTGAAATCAAGCACGCATATGCATGCACACATGTGCCCAGTTCTCCCATCTCTCTGAAATTGTTAGTGACAGACCTTTTCTTTTAAAGCTACCAACCTCCTTTGCTCATCATCAGCTCATTAGACTGCCCAAGTCCCACAGGTGATCTGTTGCCTAGCTACCAGTGTACCTGGACAAAACTTTGTTTTCTTGGTTTGGCCATCTTCTGTGCAGTGCATTGGCTGTGTGAGTGATTCAGCTGTTACTGACTCCTGCTAACCCACTCAGCCAGCCCAGACATGCAGAAGCCATTCATCTGGCTCCTCAGCACAAGGGAAGTTAAACAGTAGTACAACAAAAGACAAAAGAGTTAAATACATGGACAGTTCCAAAAAGTCAGGCTCCAATTAAATGTTTGATAGAAAAACTTAATAAGTTGTCATAGAAAGGAAGTTTTCCTTTTCCTCATGTTTTGTTCTTTCAGAACACTGGCAAACAGTAACTTAACTTTTCTGATTCAATGGTTTCAGCTACTGGCCTATTCGAGAAGATGTTCTTCTACATGCATTTGAGGTCTGTAACTAAATATTCAAGTACCTAATTGTTTGGAAGAAGTTGCTGCTTCTTGATACAATATGGTTAAAACAACAAGTTTTATTCTTTTTCTTTAAAGGCTTTGGATGAGAATAAATGTGGATATATTACTAAAGAGGACCTGGTCAAATATTTGACTGAAGAAGGTAACATGACTTCTGTAATATCAGTATTTAAGTAAAAAGCATTACAATTATATATGGCACCTTGAGGTCCTTAGTCTGTGTGCCAAAACCTGCGGTTTTTGTCTTCAAACAATACTGTTAATGTGATGAGTGGCTGCAGACTAGGACATTTCACTGGTGAATAATGCAGGGAAAAACATTTATCTGCCTGCTTACAGACGTAAGATAGATATGATGATGATGATTAATTCAATCATACCTGGATATGTTATGATTCTGTGCACATCTCTGTGCTTACTAAGGATGCGACTCTTTTTCTGTCCTCCTGTAAAATTGTAGCTTAGATTTCCAGATGTTTCAGGTAGTTTCAGTGCTCATTCATTCCTCCATTATCTTGATCTTAATTCTAGAGCAATACACAAACCAAGAGATTCAAGGGCAAGATTTAAGTTGTACATCCTGTAATCCTCAATATCCCTTGAAGAGCCTGCTTTTCTTGCATGGCTGACTCATGCATGCCTGCCTCAAGTACAAAACCTCAGATGGTAACCTAGTTCTCAGAGAGGGATGATGTGGGCCAGAAGCTCCTACAAGAGAAAAACCAGAAGTCTTTCATGATGTAAATACAAGTGCAAGGATAGCCAAATGACAGATAATAATAATATACACATTAGAAAAATTCCTTCTGACAAAAATGGTTGTTTCAAAATCCCTGTGGCAGAGAGGAATAGAGTGTTCTGGAGTCTGTGAACTAGAAGATCAGAAGATCCAGATCCTTTGCCTCCTTTCCCTTAGACTGGCTCACTTGGTGTGCAGGACTTACATTGGCAAAAGTGAAGGAATCAGATCCTTAGTTTTCCTCCTTTTCTTCTCTGTGTGAGAACCAAAAAGAGATTCTTTCAAGGGAAAAGCAGTATAATTTGCCAGTCCTGGAAAGAATACTTACCAAAACAAAGTGTTATTCTCTGCTGTCTTTCAGGTGAGCCCTTTACTGAGGAAGAAATGGAGGAAATGCTCTCCATTGCTCTAGATCCAGAAACAGATACTCTTCACTACAGAGACTACCTTTCAAAGTTGGTAGTAGATGAAACTAAGATCTTCCCCTTTCATGTTTGAGATGCCTTTTGGTAGCAAGAGTGAGCTTGGCACATAGTTGAAATATGTATTTTAAAGTATAACAATCTGTGACTTGCTGCTTATAATTAAAATAAAATCTGTGAAGTTATATCTCCTTGGGTTCTTTGTGTGTATGTATATATATATATATATATATATAAAAATATATTCACACCTGGAAAAAGAGCTCTTGACAGAAATACTGTGTAAGGTCTGGAAAAGAAATCATGGAATTTGGTTGGAAAATATCAGGAAAAATAATGTTAATGGAGTCAAGAAATTACTTTACAATTGCTTTTGAAAAACTAACGGAAAATGAGACCCCTGGAAGCAGGTAACAAGTGGGTGAGTATTTTAAGATGACTAATACTAGTAAGATAAAGCTTTTATATTTAAATGTGATCCTTGTTTGTGTTTAGCTAGTCAGGCACCAGGTAAGGTACCCCTTTTGAAATAATATAATAGATCAAATAAGCTGTCTATTTCTAGTGGTTTTCAAATATTTTTGTTTTGTTTACCATAAGCAATTGAACTGGACCAGTTAGTTCCATTTTATATTACTAACCTACTGACATATGCTTCCATATTTTTTCCTTCCATTTTAAACACACAGGTAAGACTCCAACCATTGCCATAGTCAAGTTTACAGACAAAGTAATCCTTGAGAACACTTCTGTTACTATAGGCAATAAACAGTTCCCCTTTCATAACCAGTTTGAAAGTCAGTAATTTCAAGTTTTCAGAACTTAGGATCACAGGACGGGAATTTGATTTTCATAAACTGATGAAGCACTATTTTTTGAAAGATGTTACTGTAGAATAGGTGTCTCAGCTTTCCTTGCTAGCAGACCACAACAGACCTCACAGCTCTTCTCATTTCTAGTTTAATAATTTTCTTGGCTGTTACTGTACTGCTCATCCTTAACTTGAGTTCAAGTTCCTTCCCCTCGAGTTCTTGCCTTGTACATCATCTTCTAACAAGTGGCCAGCAGTTGCCCTCAATTGATGAGGTCTCAGTTTGTAGAAGATTCGGTGGTCTGGTCCTCAAGGGCACCATCTTGCACTTTGTACTCCACACCTTCCACCCCATTTGTTTTTCTGCTCTCTATCAAGTTTGCTTTCCTCCTGTACTGTGTCCTACCACCCCTCTGTCTTAACTGCATATCCCAGCTCTGTGTCATCCACAGACCCACAGCTGATGAAATCTGGGGAAGACTGACACACAGAGGCACTGAGTGCCTTACCCCGTCATGCCCTTCTAGTGGCAGAGCTGAGAACAGAGACAGGACTCCTCCTCATGTCAGGAAGGACATGCTTTACCCGTTTGTTTCCCTTGAGCTGGAAGCTCAGACAAGCTGTTTTCATGTACAGCTGCAAGGGAGCTGCTGTGCTTCACAAAGAAGAGATTAGCATGATCTAAATGTGGTGATGGAAGCAGTCTGAAACAGACCATTTTTTAATTCAGTTTTTGCTTCTCTAACCCAAGTTGTCTTTCACTGATATTTTCTTAAACAGCAGGGCAACGAAGAGTTAATGCAAGTAGACAACATTTGCCTAGTTCTAAGCTGGGTTTCCATCTGGGAAACACTGTTGCACTGCTCCAAAGACTCTGCAATGCACTGATTAACACGTTTACTGTGTGTTTCACTTCATTGTCAGAAAGAATGAGAAACAAAGGCAGTCATTGGTGTTATACTGGTTGAAGATACAAGTTTTTGAAGATTAAAGCAAGAGCAATGAAGACCCGTTAAGAAAAACATTTATTAGGCTTATTCAGGCTCTCTTAGAAAGCTGAAATTATTTTCCCTAGATGAATTCTTCTTCCATTTGATATACAGTGTGTTATACTGGATTTCTGACCCAGCTGGTGGGAGTACAAGTTTCATTCGTATTCTACAGTCTTTGAGTCCTTGTCAGCCTCATCTGTGATGTCAAGCAGGAAGATGCTAATTTTGGGATGTCATCTCCTAGCTCCCAGTGCTCCACAGAGACCACAATTCGTTTCTAGTGGTGCTGCCCCAGAGGCCACCTCAGCTGATGCTGTGTCAGATCAGGATGTCCATCTGCAACACAGTTACAATTCATAGTGCAGATAGGTTCTTAACATACATCCTTTTATGATATACATATTTTTTTAACCTACAGTCCTCAAATGCAAGGGAAGAGGGTATTCTGGCACATGATTGTGTCTGAGTTTATCATCTAACATCTCCTCCAGCCTCGTCTATTTATATCTGTCCTCAAGAAAGATATGTGCAAACAGGACAGACAAAAGCAAGTTGCAGTCTTCCCTTTGTGCATAAGGAAGCAAATTCCATTGCCTAGAGAGTTTCCAAACTGGGGGTGAAAGAATTGTCAAGAATCAATCTCAGACTCTAGGATCCTAAAAGCTGAGCGCTCCCTGCCAGCTAGGATCACATAGCAGTGATCTGACCAGCTCATGAAGGGGCTGTCCCATGGGGCACCCCAGAGGCAGCTGCGCAGTGGCCACACATGACTATCCCCTTGCCTGTGTCTTTCATGACTTGCCAGCCCATGCTGTGCCCACCCATTTCCCCATGGTGGTGGTAGGCTGCATAAGGGGACTCTTCAAAGCTCCCTGGGGTGGGTTCTCTGAGTGCCCTGCATCTCTGTGCTCCCTGGGGATGAGCAGGGACCCATACGCTAGGGGAAAGTAGAGGAGACTTAGGGAACCATTTTGTTGTAGCTAAAACCCCTCTTTGTTTCCATATTTGAAGGGAAAAATATGTTACTTTGTCCTCTTCTTTGAGGTGGACAAATTGAACTGCTGAGTGGTCTTGAGCTATCTCTTGCTACATGCCTCTCCTTGCTGGCTGTTTTGCCTCTTCCCTCAAGATCAGGAACGAAGATAAGGAATAGGATCACAAGGAGAAGTCTAGGGAGGAACCAGCCTAGCACCTGGACTAAATCCACACAGGGAAGTAGAGCCAAGGCTTTGAAGAAACTGGGGAAGTCAGAGGGTTTTTGACCTTGTTGAAGGAGGGAGAGGGAAGGGAACTCATTATCCAGATGTAAAAAAGAAAACAAAATTAAAAGCAAAAGAAGAAATCAAAGAAGCAAACACTGGAAACCATCTACAAGTACAACTGAATCAGCAGACTGTTTACATCACTGCTGTGAGTTGTAGGCTGGACAAGACTTTACTTGTTTAAAACTTCAAGTAGGTTCAGCTGTGTCAGGGCTGGTATATAGTGGATAGTGGAGACCTTCTCCTCCATCTTACTGATACTGAGGAGAAATTCATCCAGCTGCTAAACTTGTACTTGGGAGTCCCATTGCTTGTATTCCAGGTAATACGTTGCTTTTTATGTTTCCTTCATCAGCTTTGAAGTTGCTTCTTCAAAACAGTTGTCTGTCTGCTAGTGACAGTCCCATATATATGCACACCTGAAGACTTCAGTATTTTACCACTGCATTGCGTACCAACATGGTATTTACAGTTCTTGTAGACTCTCCACTGACTGTGGGCACAAGCAGAAGTTGCAGGACTTCCACCACCAAAACGCTAAAGGGCCAGCATGAGACCTGGGACTCCAAGAAAAGAACTGGGCTGTTCACCTGTGCATCTCCACTCATGTTATCACAGAGGTAAGAGCCTCTAAAATGTTCAGGCTCTTACCTCTATTCAGGGAAAAAGAATTTGCTATATTTTTTCCCTTCTTTCTGTTGTTTCAGTCTGTCTTTTCTCCTGGTTCTCTTATATGTTGTTTCATTAATCCAGTTGCATGATTCAGTCCTGTGAGGACTGAAAATGCAGGAGAGTTTTGCTCTGCTCCACGCTGCTGATGCCCTGCTGCTTGCTCTGACAGCTGCCCATATCCCATGGCCAGATCTAGACTTGTTGCCACTGAAATCAGCACTGGCAAAACACTCATCACAGGTAAGGGGGAGAAGTGGCTGGGGATGTTGGAGTTGAACCAAGGCTGTGATAGGCATGGGAAGGTATGATTTTTTAAGTCCTGTAATACACTGTTATCATTGTGTGAAAGGAGTAGTGTAGTCTTGACAATAAGGCACGAGGTTGGCAGGTTCATTCTAGACTTTGTGAGAGGTGTTGGTAAGTCACATAGTCTCTCCCTAGCTGAACTTTCCATCTAAAAAGTCAGTGTAATTATAAGGAATGGGAGACAGGGAGTATCTATCTTGCCTACCTGGACTGTCGACTTTTTGTATTGCTAATTCTGATGTTTGCACAGTGTCTGGTACTATGACATTCTGATCGAAATCAGTGCCTACAGACCTCCCTGTCACATAATTAATAAAGGTCTCAGCCTTCAAGTCTTTTGTTCCAGACTGTACATTCAGCTCACAACTTCTAAACAGGTCAGTCTACTGCAAGTATGTTTTTTTTTTCATTGAACACCACTCTGTTTCATAGCGTCTCATGGCATTATAGGTTTGACTGTAAAACTAACTACTGAAACATCTGGTCTTATTATTGGAGATTTTTTTGGGCAGGTCAGTACTAGGCATGGGGACTATGGTGATTTAAAAGCTCAATAAAGATGTAGGTTGAAACAAAGCAGATTCTCCCGTTCAACCTATTTTGAATCCCTGGGGCTACTATTAGGCTTAGTGTAGTTCTGAAAGCCAAGAAAGTGTTACTCATTATGCTCAAAAGATTGATCACAGTATTTATGTCCTGAGGCTCAAATCCTGAAGTCCTTATTCAGACAGAACTCCCATTGACTTCAAAAGGAGTTCTGTCTGCAGAAGAGCTTCAGAAATAGTGATGCACTGGCTCACAAGGCACTGTAAAAACCTGTTAGTGTTTTTAATGAAGCCTCATCTGTGGAGGATCTAACAGAGATATGCAACCAGCAAGCAACTCGTGTCATTGAAATGCCCAAAACTGTAAAACTGTGGCCACAAGGAGTTAATTGTTGTCTATAGCAACACAAGCAAGAGTCAGTGAGAGTCAGCAGTCAGAACTTCTACATATTGTTCAGAGCACAAAAAGTAAAATCTAGGGATGCTACTGCATGGAAACGTAAAGTCACCTCTTCTGCTGTTACCCTGGAAGCACTGCAGCCTTAAAAACACACACATGTTGCATCTGTGATTTCATATACTATACCTATTCCTTTT